ATTTTATTTCATTTTTAATTTATGGCAGGAAATAGTAGGCAAGAAACACAAATATATATTCCAAGACAAATCAGATCAAACAAAACAGGGCTTTTATTGAAAGAGTGCGATGCTATCTGAAAGAACACGTAGGGGAGGGCACCCAGGCAAATGGAAGACCTGAACAATCAATAGGAAGGCCATTAGGACATGCTTTCCCTACCTCTGTTTGTCTTGTTTTTTAAACTTTCTATTTTAATTATTTAATGTCTTCAGTCTGTTCTGAGCATGTCTGGTCCAGGTAGTCACAGATATACAGCAGTATGTAGAATACAGCTGCTGGGTGCATACCTCACAGACAGCATGGCTGGGAGTAGGGGGACAGGGGAGAAAGTTTGGAAAGTGGGGCATAATTTTATGAGAAAAGGTATCTATTACATGCTGATATTTTCAAATAAAAACAGTATTACTGCTTGTTTTATTTATTTCTAGGCCCCAGGGGAAAGTATATATTTTCGTCTCTTACTGTTTCCTTTCCTACATTAACTGTACCCTTGGGATAACCATTCTTAGGGAAAACATGTAACTTAGTCATATTGATCCAAAGCACAAGAATGATCCATAGATCACTGAAGAATACAATCTGAGTGGTTACATTCTGTGAATTCCATAAGCAGGGGTTCTATACACTTACCAATAAAATAACAATTTCTTTTAAGCTAAGTGCCTAAAGGTTTTACCCTAAAGGGAACGTTCTAACCAAGATGCATTTGTCACGTATACTTACAGAATATGATAAATTTGTAGCATGAGCAGCTTGTCTCTTTGCCTTAATACTGACAAACATTCATTTTGAAATCTGAAGAGGTAATGGTGGTAGTTACAAGGAAATGAGAAACTTCAAAGCTTCACATTTTCTTGGCATGACCTCTACAACAGCATCTGTTCTTGTCTTTTTTTTTTTTAATTCTTGAGTAATACTAGGAAGTTGCTAGACCAGATGAACTTCCTATGACCTATTTAGTAGACCCAAACAATTAGCAAATGGTTATTCAATCACTCCTAAGAGTAGATTTATGCTAGACGAGTAGAATATCATGATCTTTTGATTTATTTTACATAACCTTCCATATATACTTTTTCTTACAATGCTTGGTACATGGTCAGTAGGAGATGATGATGTTCTGAGGTGAAAAACTTTGTATGGGATACAGAGACTATATGCTGATATTCGCCACTGTCCCCAGTTCCATTCACTAGACAGTCTTCACCTCTGGACTCAGAGGGGCTGGCCCTGTAGTCTTCATTGCCCTCTGATTGTTAGAAACAATCAATCTAAACAGTAGGCAAATCTCAGGAGTGAGTGTGATCATCTAGAGATGTATATAGAATTAGAAGAATGAAATACGGAATCCTAGGCACACCTGTGCATAATGAGTGTATGACGACATGCCCATGAAGGAAGTTGAGATTTTAGTCTTCTACGTGGCAAAAAAAACTAAGAGAAATGAAACTAGGAGAGAGTCACAAAACTGACAGGAAGAGGGACTATCAAGAAGAAAGGGACCAAGAGCATCAAATGATACAAAGAGGATACTAGAAAGTACCCACTGAATTTGTCAGGTTAGAAGTCAACAGTGACATTCCTTAGAGCAGTGTCAGTGGAGTGCTGGGATAAAAACTAAAAATAAACAAACAAAAACCCAGAACACAGCAAATTAAAGAGAATAGGAGGTAGAAAAGTTTAGAACATGAGTACAAACTACCCTTTCAAAAAGCTTGGCTATGGCAAAGCCAAGTCTAACACTAATTTAGCATATTTCAATATAAACTAGAAATTCTATAGCTTAAGAATACTTTGATAGAAAAAGTCACCAACAACCTAATTAAGACTCCATACAATTGTCCCTGGGGACTTAAAAAGGCAATTACTACTTCTCATCTTTTCCCTTTTTTGTTTTTTTTTTTGTTTTTCTTTGGTTATAATACTACTCATTTTCAAAGCACCTACCTGAAAGTCAATCCAACAAAAGGAAGTAAAGAGAAATTACGTATCTGATTTTTTTCCCTTTTCCACGAGTCATTTACTGAGATTGAAAAAAAAATTTCCCCACATCCCTAAAACATAAGATGTATTTTATCAGTAGTTTGTGTTTAAATAATATACATTATGGTAAAATAATCTGTCAACAATACATTCTATCATTGCTTTCTTACTAAGGATGTTGTTATAGCCTTAAAATGAAAGGAAATTATAGGCAGAAGTTTATATTATTCTGTCTTTGTTTTGGAACCTTTAGCACTCCCCTCCTAGTCTGTTTTATACTACTCTGAAGTAGTTATACGTTCTCTAAACTCACGTTATCTAGGGCCCTGTCTAAAGTGCTGGTGAAGAAAGATCTGATAAACTGATTCACTCACAAATGATGGCAAAAGCAGCCTAATACGTTACCTCTCCCAAGATGGCTGAATGTCTGAGACCTAAAGTCCAGGAATGAATTTCAAATTGAAGAATTTTAGT